GGAATGCACATTGCTTGTTGAGATTCTACTTGCACTGCATTGTCCATTCAGTCCTTTTTATCACATTGCGGATCCTCGGTTATTATGTGCATCGCCCATCTGGGCATGTAACAGCTGTTTGAACTCTAATCTTGCGAATGACATCCCTCAGACAGGGCGGTAGGACCTCACAACAATTTTCCCCTGCTGTCCACACCTAGGAATTGACTCGGAATCCGAACCCTGCGACCTTGAGTCCGCAGACAGGTTGTCCCTGTAAGTGTGGGTTCTTGAGACCGGATCTGACCGGTACCTGTAGACATGGAAGTAGGCCTGTCGTTGCGACGTCTTCGCAGCGGTCTCCAGAGTGACTCCTTTGTTTTCAATTAGTATCAAATACGCAACAACTGAGATTGGTCCACGTTTCCCGTGCTCGTTTGCTGCCTGTGGTTGTAGTCATGACCTGTCTTCGACAACCTGGCCGAAGAAGCCATTTACCGTCAATACCAAAAAAAGACCGTTGCTAACCTTCATTTGTCTTTGAAGCACCACCGTCCCGTGTCATAATCAGGGTCCCCCCCTGTCATCTTATATTGGCCAGCAACCTGCACACTAGTCTGGCCGCTGTATGCCCCAAGTTATTGGCCTTGTCCCCTGTATATCAATTCAACTGGTAACTTCTTAGTGCCCTCGCCTCCTTTGTCATCTGGTCCGCTCAAATGTAGCATAATCCAAGCGTAGTTCGTACACAAAACAGGGAGCACTAAGGGTGAGTGGAGTAGCAAGAGTTTGGGTGGTTCGCCATAGGAGACACAAAAACAGGAAAATCACATAATCAGGGAATTCGTGTTCTTTTTCATCATTCTTTTTCCGTGTTTACGATTTTTAACTTAGCCGCCCAAATGAATAAAATACTACCCTCAGCGCAGAACGCCCCGGCCGCGATCAAGGTCGATCTGCAGTGGAGGTGAACATGGGTTCAAAACTGCTCCGTCAAGGGAGCTCCAAAAAAAAAAAGTGATATAATATTTTCTATTTAGAATAATTGTAGGTGTAGTATACACGGCCACGGGAGCGGAAAACAGGGGCTGATGTAGAATCGTAGATGCCTCGTTTTTTTGGTTTCCCGTCTGCAGTATTGGCTGTCAGAATCGGTTACCAGCATTACGCATAGCCCCGTAATTCCCGCATTTCGGGAGGCCAACTGGATTTGACCGTCCGACACCGGTTCGTTTTTGTTCTGGTTTTGCCGCACAGCACTTGGGTAAATGTAGGGAATTCAGACGTAGTGGTGGTTGAAGTGTTTTGTTGGCTAAATGTAAGGAAACGCAAAACAGTGTTTGATCCTTCAAGGTTGAAAAAAAAAGAAAAAAGAAAAAAAAAGTAGGGAAGTCAGAATGATACAGTATTGCGACTCAGAAAGGGAGCAATGGGGTATGACTCCCCTACGTAACATTAGAATGTTAATGGTCCCAGTACGTTCAAAATCTTCGACCAGTCGGAATGCATCTCGTCCACCTATCAGTCCAGATACCTGTCTATTGTTGAGTAGTGGAGCGAGGCCCATGATCTCGCTTTCATAAAGGGTCTTGCTGTCATCATGGCTCTGAACTCTGGACTGTAATGATGACAAGTTAACTCTTATAATTTTATTCCTCTTCCAATTTCTTCTCAAGTTACCTACCATTCCCTCACCTTTCTTTTTCTTTTTTTTTTTCTTTTTTTTTCTGGGGTGGCTGGTGATGTTGTAATTGGGAGACTGGTATTCACCCTGGTGGCTGATGATGGGTGGAAAATTGGAAATGAAAGGAAGGTCAGTCCTGCAATGGCTGATGATCATCTCAATCAAACAAAAGAGCGCTCTTGCGCCTTCGGCCTTCCATACTTAGGGGGCGATTTGGTTATTATTTGGAAGTCTTTAATTTATTATGTGGTGTGAGTGTACATTGCACAGGTTACGGTCCGTCCTGCAATCGAAGGTCAATGCAGCGAAGTCGGCGAAGATGGCCTGTGAGAAGGAGAAGTCTGTACTGAAGGGTACATGCAAAAACCTTGAGCAAAAAGTCAAGAGCTTGGAGGGGATGCTGTGCAACCAGGAGTCTGAAAAGGTACCCACTCTTGAGCTGCCGAAACCTGAAAGCATTCAGAGAGAGAGCATTCAGAAAGCTCATTCAGAAAGCATTCAGAAATTGACACACACAGAGTGAAATTGTACACACAGCCACAACAATAAGCTGTCATATGAGTAAAGCGAAACAAACATCAGTCGTTACCTGGTGGCGACTTGCAAATGTATTCTCTCCCCTTGCCCAGACAGGAAACGATTGAACCGCCACTCCATCGGGACCTATTTTTTGACAAACCAAAAGTTGCATTCCCCCGAGCCTAGAATCTACAGTGCCGACGTGAGGAAAAATAAGTGTGGCACCCCTTCCCCGCGGAGCCTCTACCGGGCATGGGGACTCTTCCCTTGCCCAAACAGGACACACTTGAACCACCACTCCATCTGGGCCTTATTTCGACAAACCAAAGGTTGCATTTCCCCGAGCCTAGAATCTACAGTGCCGCCGTGAGGAAAAATAAGTGTGGTACCCCTTCCCCACGGAACCTCTACCGGGCCTGGGGACTGTGGCCCATTACTTGTAAGACGAGAAAAAGGAACCGTGCAGGGGACGTTGGAGTGGTGGTTTAAGTGGAATATGAATGAAATGAAATACAGGGATTATACAGTACAATATGGTACGCAACACATTGAGAATCTGAGACTCCAATAAAGAGAAACACTTCAGCGGAGGAATTACTCGTTCCATTCCACTGGCCGAGGAGGAAACTAAGAACAATTAAGGAAAAAAAAGAAGAAAAAAACAGAAGGAGAAAAAAGAAGGAAAAAAAGAAGGAAAAAAAGAAGAAAAAAAAGAAGAAAAAAAAAGAAGAAAAGAAAGCTGTTTCTTTTATTACAACGTCTGGAAACCGGGTCCAGCGTCCCTCACAATCATGAAACGCACCCACGCTCCTCCCCGTTACGGTTGGAAGAGCCTGAAATGGCGGCATTACCACCGCTCCAGCCCTGCTTACAATCTGAGACATTCACTGTGAATAACCTCCTCGCCATTCTCCTTCGGGATCACAGACTCCTAAGCTTTGCTACTGTCAAAAAAAAAAAAAAAAAAAAAAGCTTTGGTACTGTGATGCCAAGGTATAACAATCCAAGGGCTATGGACTACGAACCAAAACGTCCTCCTGCTGCCCGTCCACCACCCTGTGAGGCTGTGAGTGAGACCAGCTAAACCGAATTCGTCCTTTCTCTACCCTGCCGATCTTTCCTGCTCCCAAGGATTTGTGGATGAAAGCGTCACAGAGTTGCTGTGCTTTGTGCACATTGCGATCCATTTCTCTCTTAACTTTCTGCCAGTTGGCCCAGTACTCCACCTCTAGCAGGAGGAGGAGTCCCTCCCATGCTTGCGACAGCGGCTGCTGTCTTCTGTCTATTGTTTCGAAGCATCTTCCTTTTCCCATATCGTCCACAACGCAAGGGGTCTCAGCCTTCGCAACAGTTGCTGCTGAAACGTCTCCAGATACCTTGGGGGAGTGATTACGAGCGCTTGCTCCAGGAAGGATAAGCCAGTCACCGCCAAGAATAATATTAGTTAAATTTAGTTTCGGCTTTCAAGTTTAAACTTTAAAGGTGATATTTCTTGCAGTGCACTAGCCTTCCATAGAAAATATTCTTCTTGAATTTGGCTATGTCGAATATAAGAATCGTGCATTCTTATTGAATATTTCGAGTGAACCATCTCCCAGAAGAGATCCTAAAATAATTGCTTTACATTGATCCGACAAAGATATTTGTTTTAATTTTTTACGAGACAAATTGATTGCTGACGTACTTGTTAAAACTGTTTCCATATCTTCTATCTACTTTTTTTCATAGTCTCTAAGGGATCCTCTTGCTAATATTTATCAAATCAACACAGGACTTCCCTTGTGATTGATCCATCCAAGTAATGTAAATGAATGTTTTCCCGATATAGCTGGATGCACACTCTAATCTTACGATTAGAGGGGACACCTTTGGCCTTGTTTTGTTAGAGCCCGGCCGGATCTATCTAATCCTGTTTGCTCCCCATGCTTTCGCACCTCAGCGTCAGTAGAGACCCAGAAAGCTGCCTTCACTTTTGGTGTTCCTTCTAATATCTATGAATTTTATCTCTACACTAGAAATTCCACTTTCCTCTATCTTACTCCAGTGAACCTTTTACTCTGCATGATACGCGAAAGAAGCCAAGCATAACATTGCATGTGCAGCGCCGCTGCAGTGCACCGCGGCAGAGAGAGAGAGAGAGAGAGAGAGAGAGAGAGAGAGAGAGAGAGAGAGAGAGAGAGAGAGAGAGAGAGAGAGAGAGAGGTTTACAACATTGGGATTTGGCGATGGTTGGATTCCGACTTGACATTGGGGCCGAGACATTGTGTGGGGCTATTTTTGGATCAGCATCGACAACATCTTGAGTTGGCGACATTCTACATATCTCACCCACCTTTGTCTCTCCTCCCTCCTCCTCATCTGTGTATGAGTTCCTACATGGCGCCCTTTGTCTCCGTGTTTGGCGCCAGGTCCCTCACACTGCGTGATGATGATGATGTTGGTGTTCAGTCTGTGTCACGACATTGATTGGGTCTGATTGTTGGTATTTCAGTCTTCCGCTGTGCTATCATTGCTCCATTTATGAGAGGTCGGTTCTTGGTTCTGGTCTGCGCCATCTGGCATGCGACAAGATGGGACCACAGAGTCACCGACTCACACACGCACCCGCACATGCACACACACACATGCACACACACACACATACACGCACACGCACACACACACACACACACACACACACACACACACACACGCACACACATGCGGTGCTTCCATAGCCCACACCCGAACCGGTCCTGTCTGGTCTGTAGGGGAGGCCACTTGCCATAGTTTATTAGTTTTTCAAACCTTTTTTTTTTTTTTTTTTTTGTGCAACCCTGTGCCATGCTAGAGTAGTCTGTTTCAGTGGTGAATATTTAGAATTCTGCGAAGCTCGTCATGCACCTCTCCCCTGCTCTTTGCATGTCATACTCTATCCTGCCCTTCACATATTTCTTTCCTTCCCTCTTTGCATGTCATACTCTATCCTGCCCTTCACATATTTATTTCCTTCCCTTTGCCGCTACCTCCCGTGCCCCATATTCCTATAGAACTCCGCCTTCTATCCCTCCACCTTCATCTCCACTCCCTTTGTGCTACTAACAAATATATACGAATGAGCATCATGAAGAGAACAGACGAAATGAAGATCAGAAATGAAATGAGCGGAAGTATGAAGATCAAGGCCGGACACAAAGACTGTATAAGCTGAAGATCTGAAGTGAAATGAACAGGAGTATGACGCTCTGAAGAGAAATGCAGAGGAGCATACCGTCCCTTTTACTCTGCCTCCTGAAATAACATGCAAGTGGGCCGTGAAGGCACACGGGGATATGGGCAGCTTAGCTCAACCACAGTCAACGTGGGCAGCCTTGTGCGTAAGAGGCACAGTAAAAGGGGAGCTGCAAGAACAATGGAAGGGGTACCCCAAGTACAACCAAAAAACTGTCTACTTATAAAATTGCTTTAATATGTTGGACATTTCAAATGCTCTCGTTGTCTGCAATAGGACGAAGACTGCTTTGATTCTGAATCTATTCATCTGGGTGGAAATGGGGCTGTTGTGGGGAAAATTTATAACACACACACACACACACACACACACACACACACACACACACACACACACACACACACACACACACACA